ATCAACTACATATGGAAGTCCCCAATTTCCCCAGGGCCTAACACTTGCTGTTATGAGATTAAGATTTATTTCAGGCTGATGGGTGAGAAATGATATTTTAATCATAAGTGAGTTTGAGCATCTTTGGCCTGTTTTGATGTGTTTGCATTTCACATTTCTGTTTTTTTTTTTTTTAAAGAAGGGTCTTGTTTTATCTGTTCATATTTTTGGGGGGATTTCTTTTGGGTTTATTTGGCTTTTTCTTACTGATTTATAGAAATTCCTTATGTGTTTTTTCTGTATTCTTGATACCAATGTCTTCCATTGTATATGTTATAAATCTTTTTAATTTAGATGTTTCTGATCTTGGTTTTGGCACTGACCAGTTTTGTGATTTTGGGGACATCGTTTGACATCCACAGTGCCATTTTAGTCCATTGTGAAGTGAGAATACGCTACCTTTTAGTTATTGTATTATTGTGAAATGCCAGTGAAAGAGTGTAAGTGCTCTGAGCTTTGGGTTCATTTGATTTTCACCAGCCATTTTTCTCAGCTGTAAAGTGAGAATATACTGCTTTTTAGGGTTATTGTGAAATGCCTATGAAAGTGCTTTGGAGACTAAAGAATACCTTCACATGTACAGCATTTTGTCCTTTCTTTGGTTTTATTATGACTCATCCCTAGGAGCTGGCTTTTGTGAAGCATCCTACGCTTCTGCAGATTAATCAAATTCTGAGTGGTAAGTGTCACAACGTAGCACTTGTCTCTTTTTATTCTACACCTTCTTAGGGGAGGAACAAGGTGCATAAACAAGTTATGCTCACATTGAACTCCTGTGTTCTTAGAATGCATTGGGTGGGATGGAGGTGGAGAAGTACGGATAGCAGGAGAATCCTACTACTTCGCTAGTCATGGTATGTGCCCCAAGGATTGACAATCATTTCTACTGTGGAACCAAATGTCTACAAGGTGAATTAGGCAGCCTTTTCTTACTATCCTGGTTCACTTCTCAATTAGAACTCAGGTTTCAGAGGCAGCTGTTCTGTTCCACTATCTTTTCTGTTCACTGGTTTCCCAATTAGGGAATATATGAGGGTATAATCTATCTGGCTATCTTTTGACTAATGGCTGTCCTCAACAACCGAATAATTAACCGAAACATGGTACTATTCTATGGTTTGGGGATACTCAGATTCAGATACCACCACCCTTAGACCCAAACAACCCCATGCCCCTGACCTATCCTGACCTATGTCCCATACTTTTTTTTTTTTTTTTTTTTTTTTTTGAGATGGAGTCTTGCTCTGTCGCCCAGGCTGAAGTACAGTGGAGTGATCTTGACTCACTGTAACCTCTGCCTCCTGGGTTCAAGCAATTCTTCTGCCTTAGCCTCCCGAGTAGCTGGGATTACAGGTGCATGCCACAATGCCCGGCTAATTTTTTGTATTTTTAGGAGAGATGGAGCTTCACTATGTTGGCCAGGCTGGTCTCGAACTCTTGACCTCAGGTGATTCCTCCCCCACATTCTGTCTCGGCCTCCCAAAGTGTTGGGATTACAGACTTGAGCCACTGCACCCAGCTGTGAACTTCTTTTTACTTCTCAGGTGAAAGCATTAGTGAAGTGACTAAATTGAAAGGAGGGAAGGCCATGTAAAGAGTTTTAATCACCCTTAGCTGAATAATTTGCCCCTTAATAATTGATGATTGGCAATTTACTCTTGAGAGTATCAAGTCTGAAGCTGTTTATCTGAGGAGGCCCGAGGTGGTAAGTCAATGGTTTTCTTTTTTTTTTTTTTT